AGAGAACTAAAAGGTCGTTTGCAATTCAAGTCTTGGCAAGAACCCTTAGTTCCAAAAGAAAGTACCGTATTTACTTTCAACATGAAATCGAGAAAATGGTAGATAGTTTTCATCTCTCAAAACTTCTAGTCCTATGCCCAAGTTTTAGAATATAAGGAGTGTTCACATTTTCCAAACTAATGGAGTCGAAATTCATCAAAACTCCACTCATTTCCATAGTAAATGTTAAAGCTAAAGGTTTCAAATTTCAAGTATAAAACTAGTGAAATTCTCCAAGAATTACTCTAGTCAAAACACTCCATTTTTAGAGTTTAATCTCATGGAAATCAAGGGCATAAGACTAGGTTTGAAATCCATTTCTCAAGTATGAAGTGAGGTGCAATTAACCAAGAAAGTTAAGCAACCAAGAAAACGCATCAAGAGAGGTTCAATCCTTTGGAAACCAAGATTCAAAGTGAAGGTCTAAAGTTCAAAGAGACCTTGTATCCAACCATGAAATCAAACTTAAAATGGACTAGCAATCTCAAATGAAAGTTAAAAGTTCTTAAAAGAACATCTTGTTCGAAACCAAAAAATCCCAGCTTTGCGTGACACCACTTGGAAAAATCATATCTCGAGTTCTATAAGTCCAAAAATTAAAAACTTTATACCGTTGGAAACTAGATTCAATGTACTAAAACTCTCTAGAAGACACTTTTCCAATATTCAAATCTAAAATCATTCAAATCTTAGTTCAAAGTCACTGTTCTAGATAGAACAGAGCAAAACAGGCTTGCAATTTCAGTAAACTTTGAAAATTCGAAAAAATTCATAGAAATAGAATCCGACCTTGAAATTTATACCACTGATACAACTTAAAATAATTTCAAACACAACAAATTGAACTCAATTTGGATCTTTCTACACCAAGATATAATAGTTTTAGGAAAGCTGATTTTTGGAACCTGTTCCACGGATTCTCAGCCTTGTGTAGACACCAAAATTTTAATTTATTCTTATTTTTATTTTTAGTGATAATTATTTTTTATTTTTATTTACTAATCTCATGATTTTTGTTTCAGGCATTTTTTTTAGCATTTTATAGTATTTTAGATTATTATTATTTATTATTTTATTCTAGTTTTTGTTTATTTTTCTATATTTATTGTTGCTCGTTTAGTCATTTAATTTTATTGTAAGACTTTTTAGTATTAAGATTTGTCGGAAAAAGAAAATTGTTAAAAAAAATGCTTTATATTTGATTTAACTAATTATAAAAAAAAAGAAAAAAAGAAAACCAAGCTCATACACCAGGAGCCACACAGGATCCGAGCCCTTGCCTTCATTTTTTACAATCACAAGGTACAAAGCGGCGAAGGAAACTCCAGTTTCATTTATTCACTCGATTTTTCCCCTCCGTCTGATTGGTTCCAACAAAAATCCCTAACTTGATCCAAGGTTTGTCATAAATCATGAAGATCTAAGGTTGTAAAAATGTGCAAAGAATGGAGAAAAGGTGATGGGAGAACTGTTGACAAAAGGACTAGGAAAGATAATATTTTTGGAACAAGACAACTGCTGACAAAAGGACTAGGAAAGATAATAGGTGATAGGAGAACTGTTGATATTTGGCAGGATAACTGGTTACAAGGGAGTGAGGAGGGGAGGATTAAGACTAGAAGGGAACCACAGTGCACACTAAGGAAAGTGGACGAGCTGATAGTGGATGGAGCTTGGGACCAGCAAACACTGAACCGGTGGTTCATAGCAGAGGATATCCTGTGAGAACCCTTAATTTTCATTTTCTAGATTTCTCATATTTTTATGGCTTGTTTTCTGCATTTTCGTGATTAGAAAAATTTCTAAATAATTTTAAGGAGCAGATATAATTTTTAGATGCTTTTTCTAGTATCGAATGGATTTTGAGAAATTAATAGCGTATACCGGACGTGGGACCCACTAGTGCGAAAAGTTCGGAAAAATTCGACCAATTAGGTTAAGTTTTGGATACTGGAGTTAGGTAGAGGTTGCAATTTGGATTGATATGAGAGAGACAAGTTAGGTAGGTATTTAATAAAAGGTGACAAGTGTCACTTGGCTATTGGTTGGACCATTTGACTACTATTGCATGTCTTACCAATTGACTTAAATATCTTAAAAATTCACCAAAAATCTCTCATTCTTCTCTTCCTCTTGGCCGAATCTCTTAAGCAAGGAAAGAAAGAAAACTCTTCAAGATTTTGGCTTCCATCTTGCTTCAATCAACTTACTCAACCATCCAACCTTGATTTTGCTCCATAAAACCACTTAAGGAAGTGTTGGTGAGTTGTTGTGTGGAATTATTTGGAAAGCTAAGGTGACCAATAGCTCTCTCTCTCTCTCTCTTGTTTTAAGGTAAGTTGTGAAGAACCACCCTCCTCCTTTAATTGATGCTTAAATCATGCTTAGTGGTAGTAGAAGATGCAAGTTTGTGGATTAATTCTTGATTTGTGGTTGAAATGATCAAGTTTTATTATTTTTGGGGATTTTTCTGTTTTAATATAAGCATGATTGTGTGGCTATCTATGATGATTGGAAATGGTCTATAATGACTTAAGGAGGTGGGAAAAGTGATTAATTGCAACCAATTTCTGGTTTGGAAGAAATTTCAGAAAACTAGGGTTCTTGAGGGAGCATTCTGTCCGAAATTTTAGGTCCTAGATAGAGGCCGAATTGGCCTTGGCTTAAAACATGAAAGTTGTAGGGAATGACATTTTATAGGTGCTACAAAATTTCAGGTCAATCGGAGTAGTGTAGAATGAGATAAGTCGAAATTACTATTGCTGTTCTGGTTTTACCCGAATTGGAGAATTGCGCCTGTAATTGGTTGTTTTGGCTGGAATTGCTTCCGAATTAGTTGTTGAGGCCTTCTGATGAAATTTAGCCCTGTTTCTTAGCTTTCAGCTGGTTTTGGAATTTCTGGATTTGGACTTGTAGAGCCTGAGTTATGATGTTTCCGCTAGAATGCGTTTTGGTGAATCTGTTTTACGTTTTTGATGTAGTATCTTGCATTTTTGACCTGTTTGCACTCAAAACTGGGTTGAGTGACCTTCTGTGATGTTGTAGCCCTGTCTTTTAGCTTCGAGATGGTGGGTCTTGCACCCTCATCCGATAATCGTAGTGAAATTGGTGCCATTACCGCAAAATGAGGACAAAAACTGTTTTTTCAGGGCCAAAGTTAATTGCATTTCCGAATTTTCTGGTTTCCTCTAATGTTTGTATATGCTTAGGGAACCCTGTTTTGGTAGTAGATAGAATTGGTTTATGACTTGTAATCGAGTATTATTGTGGTTATTTGAATAGTTTAGGGCTTGACTTTCATATTCGGTTATTTCTAGCTAAATTTTGTACTTGAATGCCATTAAGCCTAGTGAACGGCTTTTGGGAATGAGATTATTTTTGTACGAGATGTTGGGACTGATTTGAGGAAATAATGAAGCCATGATGGCTGGAAAATAGGTAAACACAAGGGATATGCTGCCGAAATTTTACTTGAAGGCTAGTTGGATTTACTTGTGTTTTGAGCGAAGGGCTTTTGGGTTGTTTGAGCCTAGGTCTTCATGTTACCTTTTCGTTACCAAAAATCATGTTTTGCACCCTTGCTTTAGTAAATTTGGCGAGGCATACGACTGGTAGTCGAGCCTCACATGTGCATTCTGTATACTCAATTTTGAAAGTGGAACCTTCAATTGTTTTCCTTGGATTATTTTAGGGTTTATTGGTGATTAAAGCTCTCTTTTGGGAGGTATCTGCACTGACCCTGGTGAGTGTACTACTCACTTGTGTGTTACTATATGGCTTTGAATGTAAATTGCTTGAAGTGAATTGAATGTGACTTGATTGCAGTGAAAGTGTACTTTATCACTCTCACTTATATGCCTTGTATCATTGTTGTCATGTTATTGGAATGTTACATGAAATGTTACATGAAATGAAAGTACTCGACTTGGTGTCGATTGGACGAGTATCCAACGACTACAAATGTTATCAATGAGCTCAACCCCATTGGTAGTTGATTGAATCGAGCCGGCGAGGGCTTGGTCGTGCCAATTAATGAACCTTGGGTAAAGTTATATGGAATCTTGTAGTATGCGAGACTCTCGATTCCGGTATACTCGAGTAATACCAAAGTGCAAGTGTTTGGAGTTCGGGCCCGGTAGGGGGATGTTAGGTGGAAGGAGTGGAGGTAAAGTGGAGTCTACGATTGGTTACTTTTGAACATTGACGGAGGGTCAATGACGTCCGATCAAGAAATGCAAACGAGGAAAGGGCTCTTGAGAGCCATCTGTATCCTTTTATCACCATATTTGAAGTGTGCCTTTGATTATTTTTTTCTAAATTGAATGAAAGGTTGATGCTTATATGCACTTGGGTGCGTAAGTGATAGTATCTCACTGGGCAATTAGCTCACACCGTTCTTTTGTTTTCCTTACAGGAATATGGCTCTTTTTGGAATGAATCTTGATAGATGGTTGCCGAATGAACTAGATGTATATTTCTTTTGTATTGTATATGAAGTGAAACCCTAAATGTATTTTTAGGGCCGATTTCACTTTCAATTTGGCAAACCATGTATATATTCACTTTTGAAAACTTTTGTATGCTACTTTGGGTTGTAATTGCTCAAATTCCATATGTGAATGTTTACTTGATATTTGGTTGGGTTCTGACGGGTCGGTTACTATTCATGGCCGACTCCGAATTTCATTTTTTTGTTTTGGGTTATTTTGCCCTTCTGCCTTGTTTACGCGCGTTATAAGTTCCGGAACAAAATAGATCGCTCTAAACTGCACCGTTAGTCCTGGCGAGAGTTGGGCAGGCAGTCCGCTAACCTCTTTGGTTCGCCTTAGGGGAAGGTGGGGCTGCCACATATCCAAAAGATCAAAGCTATTCCACTCAGTATCACAGGCTGCCAGGATCGGTTGTATTGGAGATACACCAAATCAGGTGTGTTCACGGTAAAATCTGCATATGATGTATCAATGGAAATAAGGAAGCACAAACAAAAGGAAAGGAGGCAAGGAGATAGCGGAAGTACAAGCTATGCTCAACTGAACTCCAAAGTTTGGAAGAATGTGTGGGCATTACAACTGAAGCACTTCATATGGAGGTGCCTGCATCATAGCCTGCCAGTGAATGAGCAAATACATAAGCGAATAGGCAAAGGCAGTCCAATATGTAGCAGCTGTGGGGAAGAGGTGGAAACGTTAGAACACATGTTGTTCTTTTGTAACATGGCTGAAACGACCTGGAAACTTGCACCCATACAATGGGATGGGTTGAAGGATATGAGAGGAAATTTTGTAAGATGGTGGGAAGGGATATTAGGAGCGAAAACTAGGGAGCAAGGACAGGAGCATATAGCGCTGACTGTGAATATCCTATGGCAAATATGGAAGGCAAGGAACATGACAGCTTTTGATGTATATGAGACAGACCCAAGGAAAACAATGCAGAAAGCTGTGGGTGAGTGGAATGAGTATATATAGAAGCCCAACAAGATATAACAGGAGAGTTCATTCAACAAACAACAAACTCAAGCAGAAGTAAGAAATGGAGGCCACCATCAAGAGGTACGATAAAACTAAATACTGATGCTGCATTTTCACAAAATTTGGAGAGAACAGGCATAGGTGTTGTGGCCAGAAATGCTGAAGGGGAGCTGATGAAAGTCTGGGCAAGAGCTGAACTAAAACGTAGTGAGCCACGGGTGGAGGAAGCAGCAGCAATTAGGATGGGAATGCAAATGGCCTGGAAAGCAAACTGGAGGGCAGTTGAGCTTCAATCAGACTGCAAAGACGTGGTGGACATGCTAAACAAGAAACAAAAGCAGCAAAACAACATCGTGGTCGTCCTTGAGGATATAGCAAATATGAGATGTTTGTTTGAACAATGTACTTTCTCTTTTGTACATAGAGATGGGAATAGATGTGCACATAGTGTAGCAAAATTTGCTGTAAAGCTAACAACAAATGTTGAATGGGATGTATGTTTTCCCATATGGCTCAAAGAGGAAGCCCAAAGTGACTTCAGAGGAAGCGAATCTGATGTACCTAAGTCTTGTAATATCAAGTTTACAAAATGAAATGAAGTTATGATGTTTCGACAAAAAAAAAAGATGTTAGGTTTCGGGTGTAAGTTGCTGGTATAAAAGCTGGGAGAAAGCAACTGAGAGAAAGGTGGTGGGGAGGCGGCTGAAGTCTGATAGAAAGGAGAGAGAAACTGGAGAGTTGGAGTGGCGGCGGTGGTTGAGAAAACTGGAGAGGGCGAGGGAGAACTGAGAGTGAGAGTGAGAGAGGAAGCTATCATTGTCTTCATTGTGCTGTCATTCGTTGCAAATCTGCATCGAGAGGAAAAGCAAGGGAATAGGCTACGGAGAACAAAGGAAAGGCAGAGGAAGAAGAAGCTGGTTCTTGTTGGAGTCCATTTCTCCGCAGTCCAGGCGTTGTTCGACCATTCAACAGAGGGTTAAAGGTAATCCTTCCATCATTTTCGTTCATGGGTTTTGGGATTCTATATCAGAAAAACATTAAAATTTCTGCCGCTATAACTGTGGCCGTGCTCTTTTGCTGTCTTCTTTCTTTATAAACTTGCTAGTTGTGGATCTGATAGGGCGGGGAATGAGTTGACCCATATTGTTTTGTGTTTCTTTGTTGTGAAAAATTGACCAAAGTTGTTCCAATACATCTCTCGTGATAGTTTATTGCTTCCTTTGTTGTTCGTTTCCTGTGAGAGTGATTAAATGGTTCGGTTAAGTTTTTCTGTTAAGATTTTGCGTAGAGAGTAGGCTTGGTAGACGTGTTTAGGCCGAGGGTTGGTATTTATAGGCTTATGAGTATAACTAGAAAGAATTTGTAGAAAAGAAACCAGGGTTTTTGTATGACAGTTTGCAGGCTTAGGTGCTTTGAGTCAATGCATGTTTAAGTAGGTTTGGGACTATCATGAGGCGCCGAGAGACGCTGCAATAAAATTAGAGTCCCCTACCTTGCTAAAGCAAATAAAATTCTGATCTTTTGGGTTGCTGCAGTTTCGGGAATGGCTGGAATTTCCTTGTTGCTTTGTTTGATGTTTGATAGTGAATTATGTATGCGTTTAAAATAGCAATCAATGGTAACGCAGACCTGCTGCCTTTTGTTTGTGCTGCCCCCATTTTGTTTCCCATTGTTCGTTTAGTTTGCTTAAGTCGCTGTTTTCTTACACCTCTGTGGAATCTTGCTCAGTAGCTTGTCTTGAAGGATGTTTGGGTTTGGTTGGTATTAGGAGAGTTTGGAGTGGTTGAAGCCATCGGCTTCTGGGTTTATTTATCTTGTTTTGGGTTTGTTTTCTCGCAAGTTTGGTTAAATTGTAGCAGGTTTTGAGGTTTATTGTTCTTCCTCTTGTGTTTTATCATGTTCATGATCTAAGTGTTCATGTCTTGTTGGCGACTTGTGAACCAAAAAGCCACTAGCTTTTACATTTCTCTCTCCCCATGAAGCTGGAACTGATGTTATCCGTTGGTGATATTCGTGGTTTTAAAAAAAAGAAAAAAAAGAAAAAAGAAAAGAACTTGGTTTTATGGCTTACGTTTACCTGAAAATTTGGAAACGATTTGAAGTTTGATGGTTTGAGTGAAGTGTTTGAATAATTTCTTTTGTTCCTGATGATCCCCCATTAATTCATCAGAAACCAACTGCAGTTTTCTTTAGCCTGCAATTCCCTCATGTTTTCATTCGCTTGGATTGTCAGTGGCCATGGTGTTCATCAAAGGGTGTTGAGGGTTTCTAGGGGATCCGTGTTGATGAATGTTTGCTTTTGATTTGAGTTTGGTACCAGAATGCGTTGCATGTAATTGCTGGAATCTCAAAGTATCAGAAATTTGCTGCAAAATGTTGATGTAGTTTAGTTGCACGTAAATTCAGTAGCCTTGTTTTATTGTTCCTCTCTCTTATCCCAAGTTTTTGCATTCTGTGTTTAGCTAGCGAACCAATTAGAACTCTCTTGTGATGTTCGGCATGTATGCATCTAAGCTGCATAAAAAGTGCGTAAAATGGTTGCAGAAGAAGGAATTGCAGAACCTTCATGAAAATAACGTCTCTTTGGTTTGCATGCATGAAGTTCTTTCAAAATTTGCATTTCAACCTCACATGTTTCTCCTCGTTCTACAAAGGCCCAATTATGTTCTAATCTCTTGCAATTAGGTCCTAGAATATTGCAATTTGAACCATTACTTGACCACTTCTTTGCTCTTGGACCCTTGAATTTCCCAAAATATGTTAATTGGGCTTGAGTGATTGGTTAATATTTGCAATTGGGTCCTTCATAGTTTTTCTACTTTTAGAAATTTGATCAATAATTTACTTTTCTTGGAAATTATGCATTATTTGATTTCATTTAAGTTGCGATTAGGAGGGATTTGGTGATTTTGTTATACTTTACTATTTAATTGGTGCCTTGACCCTTTTATTGTTTTGAAGCTATTTTTCCTTCATTTGATTACCATTGCAAGGGAGGTACACTCTATCCCTTATTTTTCACTTTATTTGACCCTATGCGTCTATGTGATTTATGTGCTTAATTGCATGCCCTTTTGAATGTTTTCATTTTGTTTATTTATCCACTTTATTTGTTTTAGTTTTGTATAGTTATTTTCAATTTCGATCATTTGAGGGCATTTGAACCCCAATTTGTAATAGCTAGGTTTTGGCGTCTTTCTTGAAGACATGTTTTAGCTAGCCAATGTAATAGTTAGGATTTACTTGTCTAAGTCTTCCCCCCTTAGATTGTAGTAGGCATCCCCCGAATGTAATAGTTAGGGCTTTATTTGCTTTATTTGCCTTATGTGTGTTTTGCATGTCTATGTGCTATGTGTTATTGCTTTCTTAGGGTCTTGCATCTAGATATCATGCTTATGTGTTATGTGCTATATCAGATTTATGTGTTTACATGCTTTTATTAGGTCTTACATGATTTATTTGATTGTAACTGATGTGTGACGTCACCACACTAGTCCAACGCTAGTTGTGGTCAATTTCTCGAATCCATACCAGTCCAACGCTAGTTGTGGCCCTTTGTTCCGACTTTTCTCACTAGTCCAATGCTAGTGGGAAATTGTAGGCATGAGCTAGTCCAACGCTAGACCCTTAGGAGCCCCTCGCACGTTAGATCATGATTGTATGATAAAATCACTTCATCTCACTCATATTTTCATTTTTTAGGGTCTTTTATCACTTTTTCCATGACATCCCTTCTTATATGTATATACCTTCCCCCATATTTTGCCTTATATATATTACTTACCCCTTTGTATGAAAACATAACATCAGACTTGCAGTTCATTTAAGAAATAGAAACTAGGTTATATCATTTGCGTGCTAGATTAGGAAAACCACTTGGGTATGGGATATGGACGAGTTTGACTTTTTAACCTTGGCACGCTCGTATTCCCTCTATTAAAGGGAACATTGAGTCACGAATATTAGTCCCCCGCACCGGACATGATGCATTCCCTAAGGTCACGTATATTTTTTATAATTATTTTTATTTTCCTTTTCTTTTCTTAAAGTCTCATATTTTTGCATTATTCGTGACCTCTCCAAAGAGTCTTTATTGGGCGTCACAATTAATGTGATTGGTACCAAGTAAGGTTTGAAGATACATTTCGACCCCCCGATACCCTCTTAGGTCTAGGGTTTACATTCATATAGTACATCCAAATATGATAAATCTTTAAGTTAAAATAAAAAAAATCTTTGACTAAATCGCGCAACTAACCTTGGCTAGGTTGAAAGGGTGCCTTGGATTCTTATCCTTGCCTTCCCTTTCTTCAAATGTGGCTCCCGAATCTTTTTCTCTGATTTTCGTAGATTTGGAGTCGTTTAAAAAGGGTTTTCTACTTTTTTCCTTTAAAATTCATTTTTTGGTGACTTGGTACACCTCAACTCAATACCAAGTGGCGACTCCATTTTCCATTCAAAAAATCCTTTTTAAACTATATTTTAGATCAAATCATCACATTTTCAAGTCCCATTTAAACCCATATTTTTCCATTTTCTTTTTAAATCAAAAATTCATTTTCCAATCAAAAATTGAATCAAAAGCCATTTTTGCTAAACTCGTCTTTTATTTTTCTTATTTAAAAAAATGGGGCGCGACAGCTGGCGACCCCACTGGGGACTTAGAGAGTCCAAGCAATTTTGAGTTAGTCAATCTTTTTCTTCTTTTAACCTTTTCATATATCGCATTTGGATGTTTAGGGTTGCATTTTTTCTTTTTTAGGATTTTGCATTTCGCGCGTATCAATTCACTCCCTCACACATTTGCGTACGATTGATTTGATGGATGAATGGTTTATTTATGTGATCCCGCGCTTTGCATTGCATTTGGGTGGGGGGATATTACCCTAGAGCCTTGCATTGGTTCTTGATCCCTCCCCTCAAAAATAGGAAGCACTTCATACGTGCATGTATAGTTTTATTTACCCTATTTTTTCTCTTTATCGTGGGCGCTATCCCACATCTCCCTGTAGGGTTAGGATCGATTGCCTTAGGTATGCGGATGGTGTGCACTGCGCCCATAACGATGCCTAAGGGATCACTCGAGCCACCGATCGAAGGCCCTGGGATTGATGACCCTTCGCCTTTAGGTCTGAAGGCTTGGGAACCTGGAGACCTATCAAGTCTAGATGCATTAGTAAGCTAAACCCCATGCATCCATACTAGAAGTGCCTTAGGGTAGAGTCGACCTTATCCTGAACTAGGAACACTAAGCACGAGGGGAGGGATCCAACCCCTCTATTTCTTTTATTGCTTTATCTCTTTGTACTGCTTTGCTACAATGTGTTATGTGTATTTATCTGATTGAACTAACCTTTCTTGGTCTTTGTCTCCATTCCATTCATAAGCCCTAGAAAACAAGAGGCCTGGCATGGTACTCTCTAGAATGCCTACCCTATTTGATATAACACGTTTAAATTCAATGCTTCGCATCGACAGCATAAATACATTTCATTTTAGGCTCACCCCGGCATACCAAAAGGGTTCCTCTAGGTCACGTTTCACTTGTGTATTTCATATTTACTCGCTTTGATAAAATGGCATCATGCATAAA